GATTGGAATGAGATTGGGTGGTGGGAGTTGCGGTCGATCCGAAAAGGCGAATTATATATAATGTACCTTTCATCCATTCTACTCCTTTTGGACCTTGTATGTGTACGCCTGGATTGTCGAGACGATCTGGTGTGAAAATCTTGTCATATGCGGCGTGGTTAGATATTCGCTCCTATACTACTATATCTGACAAACGTTGAGTTGGGGAATCCGAAGCGGACTACCGTGAACAATATCGAGATTCGAATCGATCGATCTGGCGAGCGAAGGCGTTCCATGTCCATTACTGTATCGAGCTAGCTGTGTGCTGTGAGGGAAAAGAAAGGCAGAGAACCATCTATATAAATTCTCAATAAAGAGAACCCTCTACCATCTGTCGAGCTTGTTGCACGATGTTTCCATGGGCTGGATGAAAGCATCGATGCTCAGAACGGAGTCAGATGGGCTCCTTTTTGCGAAGGGAGAGCGTATGGAAGTGTGTGGTGGTTCTAGGATGGATATGAAAAGGGAATTCGAGTATTTATACAAAAGACAGACCTCTCTTCATAGTTGTGAGGGGAAAAGGGGAAAGAGTGAGAAGAAAAAACAGAGAAAGCAAGACCCTTACCCTTCACCATCTGTCGAGCTTATTGCACGGTGTTTCCATGGGCTGGATGAAAGCATCGATGCTCAGAACGGAGTCAGATGGGCGCCTTTTTACGAAGGGAGAGCGTGTGGAAGTGGGTGGTGGTTCTAGGATAAATATGAAAAGGGAATTCGAGTGTTTATACAAAAGACGGAATCAGATGGGCGCCTCATCTGTCGAACTTATTGCACGATGTTTCCATGGGCTGGATGAAAGCATCGATGCTCAGAACGGAGTCAGATAGGCGCCTCTTTACGAAGGGAGAGCGTGTGGAAGTGGGTGGTGGTTCTGGGATGAATTCGAAAAGGGAATTCGAGTATTTATACGAAAGACAGACCTCTCTTCATAGTTTTCAGAATTCAGGTGATTTTCCCTAGACTGTTAAGTATGTCAAAATCGAATCTGACAGACAGGTTAACTTACTATAATCCACATGCATGTTACATAAATAAAAAGACCATCCAATTGCTAGCATGATTCACAATTCTATGCTTTCGTTGGACCATCCGATGGAAGAAATATCCCGTTCTTTCGGCTTCCCGGTAATTGATGCTTGGCAGCCTTATGAGATATCACGCTTCTTTGACGTTTGCATAATGGCTTGCTTGATAGCTTGCATTTATCTGTACAATCTGCAGCCGTAATCCTCAGTTCTTTCTGCTAACCATCCGATGGTTTTGAGATATCCCGCTTTGCTGGCTTTCAAACGAATACTTTTTGACCAATCATCTGCAGCTACTATTTATGACTCTTACTAAC